GGCCTAGATCTGTCACCAACCAGACCTCCAATGAGGTACATTTGCTCCTTATCCCATTGCAACTCTCCAGTTAAATTCATGGCCTCAGTAACTGTTTTTACCTTCTGGGTCTTAGGAACTATAAGACATCTAGATGGGGAGTTTAACTATAATGAAAAAGGTTCAAAGAGCATAAAAGGCAATGAATAAATATTGATTGATTGAATGATCAATGAGTGAATGATCAGGGTTGATGTGTACAGGTCACAGCCGACGCACTGCACAATTTGCACTTGGCCTAGAGTGAGGGATGCTTGAAATTAGCAGACACTCTGCTCTTCAAGTTGTATGCAAAGCTGTGTTACCCAGAGGAAAGGACGCTGCTTTCTTCTCCCAACGGCACGGGCCTGCCCAGACAGAGCACATATTTCTAATTCATAGAAAGACCCTATGTAGGCTAACAGCAGCCCTGTGAATGACTCCAATGCAAGGGACTTGACTGACAATCAGCCCCAGAAACACAGCTGCTCAAACAGTCTTAAACTACTGCTGTAAATTCTATGCGATAGAAGGCAGAGCCATCCCAAAAGTATGGCAAATTGGAGTGACGGTTCCTTGACTCAGGAATCCATCACCTGGCTTTTTTTCCCCTCCTTCTTTTGTTAAGGACTGACAAAGCTTCTTGGTCAAAGAAGTGGAGGAGTGTTGTTACCTAAACTCTATACTACATATGGACAGTATACAAGATAACTGCACATCTCAACACAGACATCCTTCAAGAAGGCTTCCTTGATCTTCCAAGTGTGGGCCAGATGCGCCTCCATGGTTCCTACAGTAGCAATTTTTATTTTCCATTCTGCAGCACTTAACGCTATACTGTAATTGGCTATTTGCATTCCTACGCACCAAAGTGTGTTATTCACCACTGCATTGTGAATGCTTAGCACAGTTTCAGTACATGGCAGGAGGCAGGGCTGGAAAGTACAGGAAGAATGGAAGCAAAAATCCTGCAGTAGAATATCATTTTTAGATATCAATTCAGTGTGCTCCTTTCTACAAAACCAGGCAGAAAGCCATTCAGGAAGAAATCTTTATCCAGTAAAGGGTTCCCTGAGTGGCCCTAGTTACAGACACATTCTAAGACACTCAGATGGACTCGGCAAAGGCTGGCCTCTCTCTAGATCAATTTTCATAAACAATCCAGGTAATTTCTGGGGAGAAAGACTGTGAGCACTGCTGCATAAAATTCAAAGTTAGAGACGCCTGCCAGGCTAGCTCCAACAAAGGCCAGTTGACAGAAAAGTTTGTCGAGAGCACTGATGTGCCCATGGACAGGGCACAGAAGGAGCAAGTTTTGATTTCACCCACATCTGTCTGCCTTCCATCCCATTTCAGTTACTAGATTGTATGGCCTCAGTTGATATAATCCATTGCTAGTCACACGCCCCTCCCCCACCCCCATCAAAGAAGCTGAGGGAGAATGTGTCCAACGGGATCTGGGTTCAAATTTCATATAGACTTTTCTTAACCATGTGTCCATCACTTGCTGGTTTTGTGACCCCAGGCAAGGTAGTTTATGCCCCCGAGGCTCAGTGAGCTTATCTCTACAGGAAGAATAATATTTACTTCTGCAAGTAACTGGAAGATTTAAATGTGTTTCTAAAGGAGAAAAGGACAGGTACTCAAAAAAAAAAAAATGCCAGCACTTCCACCACACACACATACATACACACACACACACACACACACACACACACACCAGTCACCCCTCACCAGAACAGGATGAGGTTTGGTCTTCACTCAAGGCAGATTGTAGACAGAAGAGTAGCTGGATCCTTGCCACTTTTTATTTAGTTACAGAAGCAGCAAGCGGAGATTGCTTTCCTGACCTCCAGCACCATGGGGGCAAATCCGCCAAGCGGGAAGTTTGTTTTTGTCATTTTCTTTTAAACTTACCTCTTCTTCCCTTCCCCCACCTCCAGTGGCCCCCCTGTTGCCCCGGGGACCATCTAGTGCCTCATTTACCAATGATCTCGTTCTACACAAACTGTAGTAATCTCAGATAATTTGTTAGCTCAGTGCTCAAACACCGCCACCTCAGCCTGCGGCAAGCAATTCGGGAAGGCTCCTGTCCTTCAAAGGAATCGGGTTACACTTCACAGGCCCTGAAAACAGCGGTCCTTTGGCTGCCTTAGGAGCCAAATGACAGCAAATGTGGTTCTCCAGTCACACAACTGCAGAGACTGTCAGCTGAAAACAGGCAAATGGTCTTTGTGTTTTATTAGGTGACACTAGGAAGAATTTAAAAGCCGAAGGGAGCACACCCCAAAGGGTCTTCTTGGGGTGCTGGGGCTTGCCCCAGTGCCCCCCAAATCATACCAGTTCGCTCAGCCCATTCTTAAGGCTAGCCCTGACTGATTCTGAAAAACAAAACATTCATGGAAGGCCCCGAGAGTTCTCTGAAATCCTCAGCTGGAATGTTAGCAGCAGAATAAGGGCCAAAGGGCTCCTCCCATCAATCCTGAAGCCTGGGACCTACCCAAAACTGCTCCAGGAATTCTGATGGGTTCCAAGAAATCCTACCCAGGGAATTACTGAGAGGCCTCACCAGTGTGGCTCCTGTCTTTTCAAAGGGACCCCCAGGAGGTCAGGGCTGCACTGGAGGTTCAGGTCTCTCCCAGCTAAGGGCTCCCCAGGCAGAAAAGGAGAAGATGCTCAGTGTTTAGTTAGAGAGTATCCTGTACATCATGGATAAACCTTGAAAACATTTTGCTGGGTGAAAGAAGCCAGTCACAAAGGACCACACACATATTGTATGCTTTCATTTATATGAAATGTCAACAGAAAGCAGATTAATGATTACCAGGGGCTGGGTGGAGGGAGTAGGGGGAGGTTGGGATGAAATGGGGAGTTACTGCTAATAGGTGTGGGTTTTCTTTTCAGAGTGATAAAAATGTTCTAAAATTGATCGTGGTGATGGTTACGTAGTTAGGAACCTCATTCACAGTGGTTCTGTGAAAATACTAAAAACCGCTGAATTGGACACTTGTATGGTATGTGAATCATATCTCAATAAAGCTGTTTTTAAAAAATACTATCCTGGGGCTGGCCCGTGGCACAGCGGTTAAGTGCACACCTTCCGCTTCAGCAGCCCCGGGGTTCGTCAGTTCGTATCCCAGGTGTGGACGTGGCACCACTTGGCAAGCCATGCTGTGGTAGGCGTCTCACATAGAAAGTAGAGGAAGATGGGCACGGATGTTAGCTCAGGGCCAGTCTTCCTCAGCAAAAAGAGGAGGATTGGCAGCAGTTAGCTCAGAGCTAATCTTCCTCAAAAAAAAAAAAAAAAAAATTACTATCCTGAAGTCTGTCTTCCAGTAACCATGCCATTGCGGCCAGGTTCAGAGGAAATCCAACCAAGTTGCTCTTTCCGAACAACCAAATAGCCAAATGCTATCCATTCATTCATTCATTTAATCATTCACTCATTCTAAAGTTACCAGTGATTCTCTGTGTGCAGAACTGGACCATCTTGTCAGAAACGCAACACCAATTCTCATCAGTGCACCCAGCTTAAGCTCGTTTGCTGGATTCGAATAGGGCCTCTTTATCTCACGGGGCAGCTAGGAAGTGACCTCCTTGGCCCTCTGAAGGTGAACCGCCCCAGAGCCTGTAACAGGGGAGTTTCGGAAAAGCGCTTTTATCTCTGCACCCCACAGAGCCACCGAAGTCTTAGCCCCATATTTCTTTCTTCCTGCCGGCTTCACCCCCCTTCCACTGTTGCCAGCAGAGGACTCTCCGAAACTTCCAGGGGGAGTGGGGCTCTCAGTAGCAGCTCCAGAAGCGATTTGGGAGGGCAGGGGAGAGGAATCCAGGCTCCTGTGAGAGCTGCACACGAGCCCCATTTGGGCACTTTCCCTAAGGACAAGTCCAAAGCCCGCACCTAGGCAGAAGGGGCGACCCCGTGTCAGCCCGGAGCTCGACCGCCACAGGGCACGCTGCCCGCAGAGGACCTAAGAACCCAGCTCCAAATCAGAGGGCCTGTGTTTCTGGACTTGCAGGCGGCGTCCAGACGCTCACCTAGGACTGAGGCCACTCCAGGGACCCCACGCCGGATCCTCTCGGCCCGCCTCTAACTCTGTCTTGCTTGTGCGCACCATATGCCAAAGCCCAGCTCCGCCGGAGGCATCTCTGCCCAGGCGCTGCGTATGAGGAGGCTCGAAGGAGGGGTACAGAGGAATAAAAGGGGGGGGGGGGGAGTTAGGAGTGGAAAAGCCAGGGCAGAGAGAACCCTCCAACACCACAGCCTGGTGATGCATCTCAAAGCCGGAGCCCCCTGAGTCCAGACACCAAAGCAAAATGCGCGAAGCATCCGGGTTTCCTGACTCAGAGACGTGGAGGAGCGGCTACCGCCAACATCCTCCATCAGCGCTCCCTGCCTGGGTGCTCCTCTTTGCGTCCAGCGTCTGGTCCCCAGCGCTAATCTATGGTAGTGCCAAGGGGTGTCTGGGTGAGTTTTGTCCCCTATGATCTCATTCGACTGCTCTCCCAAGCGACCCCACACACAATCTAAATAAAGACAGCGTGCTTTCTATTTATATACAGCCCTCCAAGACATATCCCTAAGCCACTTTCTCACCAGATTGTTGCCTTTACTAAACCCTTTCTACTTGGAAATGTTCAAGTCGCCACTGTCTTGCAGCCAAAGCTGCTTCTTCCCGCCGTGCGCTCACAACACCCAAGTACAGGGAAAAGATCCCAGAAGCAACACATCTTCACAGTCTCTGCATTCGCGCCGCGCAGCACCTCCAATCTCCCTGCCCAGTGACCCCCGCGAGGAGGCATCCGGGTGCATCGTGCCACCCCACCCCAAAGGTCCCTGGGCCATCCTGGGCGCGTGCTGTAGAAAATGCCCATGGCATTGCATTGCATCCGCAGGTGTCTCGCCCTCTGCACTTTTCCTTCCACACGAATAGACTTTTCAAAGCCGACTCGAAGAAGGGCAGAGAAAGATTGGAACTGACCTGTGCAGAGCAAGGTTCCAGCCAAAGTTGGGGACCTCTTGGTGCCTAGGGGAGATCCAAATTCGGGCGCGTTGGTTCTTAGCGGTGCACCGCTCTCACTCCCCTTGCGCTGTGTGCCCCTTTTAATTAGCTTCTCTCCCTCTCCCTGTCCCTCTTCCTCGCCCTCTCCCCTTCCCTCTCCCGCTCCCACTCCCGGCCGCCCGGAGCTGCCTCCTCCTCTCCAGCGCTCCCCTCCTGCTGGGCGCCCAGGATCTGATAAGAGGAAAGGAAGGCCCCCCGGCGGCCAATTATAGAGCGGAAGGTGGCCGCGGGGGCGGAGGTTGGGGAGGTGGGAGGCAGGCCTAAATCCCAAACGCCCCCCACTTTATCGCCTCCTCCTCTCCCACCCCCGCCCTACAGGAGTTCCTCCGAGGAGCGAGTCCCGCGCTGCTCACCGACCCCTCCTCCCAAACCTGGCGGGCACCCCAGGTGCGCGCTGTAGCTGGGCGTCTAGCGCGGGAAAAAGCCTCTTTTGCTCCTCCACCCCGACCGAGGCTAGTGTGAGGCTGCTAAACCGCGGTGGCTTTGGGAGGTCTGGAGCCCCCTGGTACGCAGGTGCTGTGTGCCCACTTCCCGGCTCCTCAAGACCTGCCTTGCCTTCCTGCGTCAAGGAGCCTGCGCTCCGGGGACCCATACCCGTCGTAAAAGGTTACGTTCCCTCCTCGCCCTTCCTTTTCCCAACAGTTCGGAACAAGGGCTATAAAACGCCAAAACAACGATGCTCAAACTTTGGTGAGCAGAAGAATCATCTGGGGGTGTCGAAATTGACATTTTTCTAGGTTTAGAAAGACGAACGTCGGCAGTGGCCTGTGGTTGGAATTCCTAACCTGCAGGTTCCCACTCGTAGAGATACTGTTTCAACAGAGCAGAGCTGAGGCCGGGGACTCTGCATTCATCAAACACCCTGGTGGTAGGTCTGATCTATGCACCCTACCCTCCGCGAGGCTCCACCCTGAGACGTGAAGCCCACCAGGAGAGCCAGAGCCCGGCGCCAGGTCTCTAGCGACTCTGCGCTGTCACCCTCTGGCCCCCTTTAGAAATTCACCATCGTTACCCATTTTTGAACCGTGCAAACAAACCTACCACGGCGTCCTTTACAATCAGCCTTGCTGTGTGTACACTAATGTTAGGGAGGAAGGCATAGAAACTGGGAATTTAGCAAGAACCCATTTTTGTGAGAAAATACTTTCTCGCCTTGGGAAAATGAAAAGAGGGTATTTTCACCACCGCTAAAGACCGGTGAAGGAGACAAGAGAAAGGGCAAGTGATACTCTTAAAAGTTCCCCGAACCTGCTTCCATCATGCCTAGCTGAGCGTCCAGAAAGAGGGGCTGTAACATTTGAAACCTTTCAGGGGGTCCTTCCGACATCCTAACTATCCCAATCGCTGTCAGCCACCTCCTCCGCTTTCCCCGAATCTGCATGCTGTTGCCATCCTCTTGCCCATGCTCTGAACTTCCCCGCCGGTCCTGCGGTTGGAGTGGAGAGGGCGGGTTCCAGCCCTCATCGCCGCCCTGCGTCCATTGGTCCCTTTCCAGATTGGCCTCAGCTCAGCCTCCGGGCGCGGACGAGCTAGGCGCCGCTTTGCTTCTGCGCTTCACTGACCGCGGTTCTCGCGGGTCAGCAGCCAGCGCCGCTTTGCAGGAGACAGGCTGAGCGCAAGGGCTCCAGATGCAGTACTGCAAGGGCGCGAGCGCCCCCTGGTGTCTGCATCCGGGGTTTGGGAGAGGGCGGAAAGTGGAAAGTCGCTCATCCACCCTAGATGAACGCGCAGGGACCGGAATTCCTGAAATGCAGTATTTATCCCTGGAGACAACTACCACTTTGGTTAGAGCTCCTTTCTTATGCCCCCGCCAAGCAAGTGCTTACTTAAATAATAAACCACTTATCTGATGAAATCTACTCTTATGTCCTTCATTTTTACCACGAGGTAGTTGGGTAACGTAAATTTAGCGTTTCTTGTAATTCCCTTCGGGGAGGTAGTGGCACCTTAGCACAAAGCTTTAGGCGAAGGGGATAAAAAATTACTTATGATGGAATTATAGAAAATTGGAAATAAGGAATTCTCTGATGATTTTAAAATGTGACATGTGTACAAAAATCCATATACAGCCAATAGAGAAGAATAATATTTGATAAAAATCTTATACAATAATGTATATTGATTTTGTAGTCATATAAACTGTTATTTTTAAAAATCGTAACTCATCCTTCCTTCATCTCTTTAACTTTTGACTTCTTGCATTTCACTTTCAATGTCGAGACTCTTCAGTTAATCTTGAATCTGAATGGCTGGTTTCAGTCAGTTTTCCACTGAGCTGCAGTTGTGTGTGAATTTCCAGCCCTTTCAAGGGAGTGTTTATTCAAAACTGATCTTAAGGTCAGTCCCCAGAGTCTAGTAGATTACTGAGAACTGAGTCCTTGAAACAAGACCAGAAGATCCCATTAATGGTCTCCTCCGTCAATCTAGGAGAAACTCTATCTGAACAAATATGCGAATTTCTGGGGCCTTTTCAAAGATGTCCAGAAATTCCAGCTTCCCACAGTAATTGATTCCAGGACTCCACAACTCTTCCTAGACTCGTCCTGAGTTTGTGACATGACCGTGATCTTGTTTCTCTCTTGATGTCTAAGAAGGGGTCATTAACTGTATCTCAGGGGATGGGCATGAGGATTAAATGACAGATGTCTTTATGGACCTAATTCACAAAAAATAAAAAAAGGTCTCTTTATCACCCAACTAGGTCTATCTCTCTTCTGTCCGTTGCACTACACATGGCAGTACTCTCTTCAGCAGCCCCTTCTGGAAAATTCTCCTTGCAATGTTTCTCAACAGAGGCCTTATTGACATTTTGGGTAGGACAGCATGACCACCACAGACATTGTAGAATGTTTATTATTCTTGACTCCATCACCAAATTCCAGTAACACCCTCCCCATTTCCTAGTCATTGTGAAAGCCAAAAATACCACCACTCAGATCCTCGTACACTCTTTAGAAACCATAGTTTCCAGCTTCATGGGTTATTTATGACTCCCCACAAGGAGTTAGGCTCAGAGAAGCAAAATATTTCACCAAAGTGACATTCCAACCCCTCTGTAACAGTCAGCTATGATTTTTTCCTCAGCCCAGCATTCCTCTCCCCCACTTCTTTTGGAAACAGAGCAATAACCATGTCCCAAACCCCTGCTCCCATATTCCCCTTCTCCATGCTGACTATCCCATTCCTGCTTTTGAGACTCCCAGGATTTGTCCTGCTCTTGCAACAGCACAACTGGTAACAGAGTGTTAACCCCCTGCACAGGCAGGGACCTTCAGGACCCTGCTCCCTAGTCAAGGGCTGATGTATGTTCTAATTGATTGATGTCCCTGCCATACCAGTTATTAAATACTTTTATCTCACCCTAGAGTAACAGAGCTCAGAGTTCTTTTTAAGAAATTGCCTCCACTCCATTGGATGCGGCTATGGTGGGATTGTCGTTCAGGGTGCTCTGTTCTCCCCTAGCCAAGTGTGGGCATCGACTGTAAACTAGGCCAACCAGATTCTCTCTCCCCCAAATGTGAGTTTAAAGTGGTAGGAGACAAGGACAGAAAAAAAGTGTTTGCTGAAGTTTTCCTCTCAATTCATCCTAGCAATGAGGCCTAAAATAATAAATAGCTCCTTATACCTAGACATAGCTCTAACATTCAGCAGATACACACAAGACAGCTCTACCAGTTGTTAAAATATTGAAATACTTCCATAGCAGTTGGTAAATAGCTGCCTCCCAAACCCTGAATCTTCTCCAACATCCCCTTCCTGGGACCACCACCCCACATCTCCCTTTGATCCAACAACTGAAGAGTTAATCCTGTGCTGTGGTCTGAATGTTTGTGTTCCCCAAAATTCTCATGTTGCAATCCTAACCCCCAAAGGTGATGGTATTAGGAGGTGGGGCATTGGGGAGTTGCTTAAGTCATAAGGGCGGAATCCTCATGAATGGGATTATGCTCTTACAAAAGGTGTCCTAGAGAGACCGTTAGCTCCTTCTGCCGTATGAGAATATGAGAAGTCTGGGACTCTGGAAGCAAGACTTCACCCAACCATGCTGGCACCCTGAGCTCAGACTCTCAGCCTCCAGAACAGTAAGAAATAAACTTCTGTTGTTTATAAGCCACCCAGTCTATGGTATTTTGTTACAGTAGCCCAAATGGAATGGACTAAGGCACCCTACATCAGCAGAGGCCCTCCGTCCCTCCTCAAGTGTGGCTACTGGCATCCCTTCCCACTGGGCTGTGACTGTGCCATTTTGTCATTCAATCTTTTTTTTTTTTTAAAAGATTTTATTTCTCCTTTTTCTCCTCAAAGCCCCCCGGTACATAGTTGTATATTCTAGTTGTGGGTCCTTCTAGTTGTGGCATGTGGGATGCCACCTCAGCATGGCTTGATGAGCGGTGCCATGTCCACGCCCAGGATCTGAACCTGCAAAACCCTGGGCCGCGGAAGCAGAGAGTGTGAACTTAACCATTCGGCCACGGGCCAGTCCCATTGTCATTCAATCTTGAACATCAGCCCAGAGCTCCAGAACATCTTTGGTTCCTGTCCTTCCTGAAGCTGTTGTCTCAGTTCTGTGAACTATCTCATTTTTGCCAAATCTGATTTGTTTTTCTGCTAACCGGAAAACCCCAACTGAGTCAATCTTCATGTTACCAATCCTGAAGCTGAGACAAAGGACATGAGAGAGCTTGTCCAAGCTTACCCAGAGGGTTAAGAGTAAAGTCAACACTAGAATTCAAATGTCTTAACTCCCAGACCAGAGCTTTCCCCACTGGTGTGCACTGACCCCTTTCTAAACAATGCTAGCGGTACCTCCTATGCTTGCATAGGGTTTTTACTTTACAAAATGCATTCAAGTAGATTGTCCTATTTAAATACATTGGCTCTGCAAGGTAAGAATCATTTCAGAGGCTAAAATCATATTGTCTTACTGTCCTTTGTGGTACTGGAGTCCCGCCTTCTCCTCACAGTCACCTTTCATGTTCTTGAAGCAGTGACGAAGGCATTCCTCATCTTCTCGGATCTATGGCCCAGATCAAAGTCAGGACTTTAAAAGCAGCCAAGTTTTTCCTGTGTGACAGCACCCTGTCAGTGTATGTGTGTTGCATAAAAGGTTCTATTCATAACATATTAGGGCTGGAGCAGGCCAAAGAGATTATATACGTGTGCTAACCCCTTCACTTGACAAATGAAGAAACAGGTTCAATGAATTAATATCCCCTGTCCAAATCCCCAGAAAGTCAGTGGCAGATATTGCTAGATTCAATATCATCCTACAATAAGCCAAGATTCTTTCCGATAATAATAATACCAGAAGAAGAACCTTTGTGGAGAGCCTTTTGGATACCAAACATTTGAGGAAAGCTCACATGGACTCTTTTAATTTTTTAAAATATTATTTTATTACAGTAATCCATACATGTAATTTTAAAATTCAAATAACACTAAAAGCTTGTTAAAAAATAGTCTTACTCTCCAGAAGTAACCATTTTTCACTCTTTTA